GTATACGAATACATATACATACACATATAACTATATACATGTTCATATACGTATACGTACACGCACACACATACATATATACATACGTACATAAAAATATACATTTATACATATATACAAATACACATGTGTACATGTATACGTGTATTTATGTATTTATGTATATTTGTATATATTTATAAATGTAAATATGCAAATATATATGTTTATATAGATATAAAGATATATATATATATATGTGTGTGTGTGTGGGGGTGTGTGTGTGCGATCCTATATTTTATCTGTAGGAATTGAGACACTTACATATGTATGCGATCCTAACTGTATGAATCAGCCGGCTATACCCTCGCAGAGCTATTTTCGAGCCGAATTTTAACGCGAATAGCTAGGTCAGTCGTGCAGTCACATTTCGGTATAAATAGTGAACCTAAATTTCCTGGACAGAAACTTAACTGTAACAATCGACTTTTGTTGACGCAAGGTGGGATTTGAAACTGAGGACGAGACGACTCTGTCCATAGGATTTTCATCATGATGTGTCAAGTGTGTGAGTTCTATAAACTGTGAACTGTGAACAATGTTCAACAAACATATCCTCTCTGAAATCAAACATTAAAAATTTGAAATGTAGATTGTACAAAGAAGGCTATCATGAATTCACGGCTCAACAATGCAATAAATATTGACTTTTTAGAAGGCCATGTAAATACCCTTTTTTTTTGTTGATATTTTCAGCTTGACATAAATTTGACCCGATAGATATACCTTGTGGTTTTTCTTGGGGTTTTTGTCATGTATCGGTTTTTATGACATCCACTTTAGGGCATTTTGTCGTAAACACAGATAGAAAACAATTACAATTAGCTTTTGTTTTATATTAAATATATTCAAATTGATATCTAGTAGAAGATGGCAGAGGCGAAATTAATTTGCAACCAATATCGAATAGTTAAGTTGCAAGTCGGCCCTTTTGGTCTCGACATTTGGGGGGAGTTTTTTAAAAACGAGATGAATATGAAAATTTAATTTTATAAAGAAAACAATATCAGTAAATACTTATAAAGCCCCATTAAGGGGTCTCTTTTATTTTACAGGTCCTTCTAAAAATCACGTGATACGAAAGGAAATTAAAAATAATCAGCCAATGAAAATATACGAGCTTCACAATCCCATTGGATCTATAATTTCGGCAAATTATACTCATCAAAACGTAAATATGAATAGCCTTCTGAGTTCTGAAGAAGAAGAAAAAAATATGTATTTACAAAAAAAATGCGAAAACTATTTGTCGTTTTGTAAACTATAAATCATGATAATAAAAAGCATGTACGACTATTATTTTTGCTTTTGATATGCATGAACCTACGAGGGATCTTTCTAAGGGAAAATATTTGCTCAGGAATGCGGATCAGATTTTCGGGCTAAAGTAACAGAGGTCGCCTAAATAATAAAATAAATAAAGCCCGAGTTAGGCTGCCGGCCTGTCCGGCCCCCGATGCTCCGCCGCTCGGCTCAGAGCTCAGCTGCCGAGGCCTGGGCCTCCCTTGACCCAGTCCCCATGGTGATAAAAACAGAAAAGTAGTCGCCATTTTTATGTATTTATATCAGCCCTGGTCTATGTGATCTATACCATCACATTCACACACTTCACGTACATACTCACATATACATACTATATACACAATGGTTTGGCCGTTCGCGTCCGATAACGTCGTAGACCCCAAGTACGAGAACACGACCGAATACTTCAAGAACGCCGAGGGTCTGTATCTCTACTACCAAGTGCACCAAGCTGTCGAAGTTGCCAAGGCTAATGTGTTACTGATCCACGGATTAGGTGAACATTGTGGTGCACCTCAGTGGCAGAAAAGGCTTATTCCTACGCTTACTAAGGCTGGGTTTAGATGTGCCTTGTATGATCAACAGGGACATGGGCGATCTCAGGGTCACTCGACCGCCTACACACACGATATCCAGAACTTGGTGAACGACGCCAAGCAGTTTACGGAGATGATTATCGCCAAAGAAAGTGCCGGGTCGAAGATTCCTACTGTAATTCTGGGTCACAGTATGGGTGGATTAATCACCTTTGAGGTTGTACGTGAGAACCCTGACCTGTACGATATGGCCATTATCAACGGAGGAGCGTTCTTCATTGACCCGAAGGTGTTGACGCCGACTTTGAATGTCTTGTCGACAGTTTTGTCGAAAGTTGCCCCAAAGATGGCCTTGCCTGATGCGGTATGTGTTATATATATGTATGTATGTATGTATGTATATGTATGTATATATATATATATATATATATATGTCTGTGTGTGTGTGTGTGTGTGCATGCGTGTATATACGTATGTGCGTATGTGAGTATGATGCATGTATGAAGGTGTGTGTATATGTATATATATATATATATATATGTATATGTATATATATATATATATGTATAATACATACATACATACATACATCCCTACTTACTTACTTACATACTTACGTACATCATAATCACATGCGCACACACATATATATATGTGTGTCTGTGTCTGTGTGCGTGTGCGTGTGTTTGTTTACATTTTTAAATGTTTATATATATCATATATGTTCAATTACACACATATGTACATATTTATATATTGTATATAGATATATATCAACGGTCAATCTGAATACAGGTATTTGTTGCAGTTGAGATAGCTTTTCTTATTAGTGTAGTTGCTTGTGATTAATAGCTGAACGGCGCATATATGCGGTGGGCGTTGCTGTGGAATATTTATTTTTTATCATATTGCATAGGCATGTAATGGAATACAGTATATATAGATATAGTTACATATATATATGTTATGTATATAGAATGTGTCAACAGTCAAATTAAAGTCAAATATTGGTCGCAGTTGATATAGCTATTCGTATTGATGTAGGTACTTTTGTTTATTAGCTGAACCGGACATATTTGTAGTTGGTGCCGATGTACAATATTATGTTTTGATTGCATTGTATATTCGTGTAATGGACTACAGTATATACATCAGGCTTTCTGGAATGTATATGCGAGATGTTTACAACCGACATATTGGACTGCTAAAGTATAATCGTTCATTGACAACATGCAATATACATCCTTCGCTGCATCTCATTTGCTTCACATCCTCTCATTTTCCGTCGCAGATTGACCTAGCAAAGTTAAGTCGTAATCCTAACGTAGAGGAGTACGCCAAAAACGACACACTCAGATACAACGGAGGCCTTCGTTCAAGAACTGCCAGGAGCATCCTTGACAGAATCGGCGTTGTCACCAAAAAGATGGCCAGTTTCAAGACACCTGTTTACTTCTCTCATGGCGAGGTATGGGGTTTGTAATTTTGATAGCCTTCTATTGCGTTAATTGAAAAAGATGTATATATTTCACTATACACACACATGCATACGTACACTTAATATATATACCCTTTATTTTCATAATTGGATACCGCTGCTTCAAATATTAATTTTACAGAAAGACCTCATCTGCAGTCCCCAGGGAACTAAAGCCGTATACGAAGGCTGCGGTAGTGAAGACAAGACACTGAAGATCTGGGACGAGATGTTACACGAGGTCTTCGAGGACCCTGATTCTGACCTGGTGCTGGAATCAATTGTTGAGTTCATTAACAAGCGCATCTAATTTTTTAAACATGTCCACATTGTTATGAAGTATGGTATTGATGCTATTATAAAATGGCAGTGGATGCGGCTAATAAATTGGATATACGTCGTTCTAGAAATTTATCCTGCTGTTTGATATGCTGCAGTATGCGCTTGCACTGTGTATTTACAACAGAAACACGTTGAAAAGGTGGCGTTTTCCACCGAGGAACTTTTAAGGCCATCGGCCGATAACGAAACACGTATGTTGTATGCATGAGTATATATCTATATCTATATCTATTTAATTATGTTCATATATATATATGTGTGTGTGTGTATGTACGTATATATATATATACGTTTAATTTACAAGTGGCCATCTCTAACAACATAGTGCTTTATCTAGGAATATCTCGTTCCAAACACGTCTACAGATCTGCCTACTACTATAGTACAGAAGTATCAGACATTTCCAACCCAAGTACAAAGCAGAAATCGTAAGTTTGTAAGCGGCTGCTCTTGCACACGTACTGGTGTCGATGAAATGCTCTCTCTCGGCGAGCCGCGATGATTCGAGAGGTTTGATGTTTTTGTTTGATAACAATATTCTTTAAAAAAAACAAAAACGTTTTGCCATAGCCGCAGTTTGAACCGTTGCCATAAACGTTGAACGGGAATTTTTATTGCGTTTTTTACGGTGGAGTACACGCAGATGAAATCTTTAGGACTAAGTATCATTGCATAAACGCATAGCCTCCTTTTAATAAAAACAAGAGGCTATGATAAATAGCCCCCTGGGAATTTCAAATATGTACATCCGTATAATGGAAATCTATCTAATGGCGGTGTAGAAGCCTATATCAGATTAATATATCCGAATATCGACATATTATAGTAACTGGCAGTCTGGAAAGCAAATTGCATCTCCTCTTGAATAGTTTCTAAAAACAATGGGTGTGTGTTCCATGGCATCTATCACGTTAGTCACCTTGGCAACGCTCCTGCTGGTGGCTATTAATGTGGTAGCGATTGCATACTCGACCATATCAGTCGACTGGTTCGTGAGCCCGGACTATTCAGGTATAGACCTTCATATGCTTTGATATCTTTTGAACTTTGTGTATAATCGTATGACTACAAGTAGGGGTACTATTGATGCATGTGCATGTATGAATATAGTTTGTGTATACTTGTAAAACTACAAGTAGGGGAACTATTGATGTATGTGCATGTATGAGTATACTTTGTGCATCTTGTATGACTACAAGTAGGGGAACTATTGATGTATGTGCATGTATATCAATATAGTCTGTGCATCGCGTACGTTGTCTAGCTTTGACCGTGCACAAGGGAGATGTATAAATCTATGGCCGTTTGCCATTGGAAGGTAATCTGAGGACGATTGCGTTCACTCCACGCTTGTCTGTTCGTGAAACTTGTGTTCTTATACGGCCAAAGGTCTTGCTAGGCAGGTGTTGACAGCATATGTTTACGTTATACGGCCAAAGGTCTTGCTAGGCAGGTATTGACAGCATATGTTTACCTTATATGGTACGGCCAAACGTCTTGCTAGGCAGGTATTGACAGCATATGTTTACCTTATACGGCCAAAGGTCTTGCTAGGCAGGTATTGACAGCATATGTTTACCTTATACGGCTAAAGGTCTTGCTTGGCAGGTATTGACAGCATATGCTTGCCTCAGTATCATCATTGCCCGTGCCTTCGTCTCAATGCACCCCTCCATTCTCTCTCTCTATGATAATGTGATTATGAATTATGTGAATAATTTTGCCTCTCCCCCGGCTATTTCTGCAACAGATTGTGCTGGAGTTTGGCTACCATACCCACGCAGAGGCACACACAAAATATCACATTCCAGTATATGACTTCAGTATAAACCAGGTTTGAAGAGCATATCGAACCAGCTATTTCGATAGATGCAAGTGTTCTCGTTGGTGTCATGTTATTTTATAAATCCCACTCATACACGCAAGGAATCGATTCAAGTGGCGGGCTGTGTGTATACATACACCATCCAGTGTCTCTCCTGTAAAAAGACTAGACCCTGAGTCACTAGCACTCTCGTATGCCGTATAACATTGTACACGCACATGTGCTCAGTATTGTTATGTAATTATGCACGTGTATATCTACAGAAGAATAAAATTCATACCAGATAGCAGATTTCCATTAACTCGATATCATGAAGCCGTAGCGTTTATCTCGCATTTGAGACGTGCTTCTGTGGAATAACTGCAGGGGGTTGTATTATGTGTGTGTATAAAGACAAATCAAACAATATATCTATATATATATTCTAGCTCCTAAGTTAATCTGTTTACCATGTAATTGGCTTGGAATTCACCAGTTGGGATCGCCAGCGGATGCAAAGCACACAATGTGACTCACATTGGTTCATTTGAAGACCACACCATCACCATCACTTACTGCGCAACGTTCGAAGTAACCCATCTGAGAGGCTGGGAAGAGAAGGTACGGTAAATGTCTCCTTTTTGTATGCACACAAAAGATCAATACGAGATCAATATTAGATCCATACTAGACCAATATTAGATCAATTCTAGATCAGTACTAGAGCAATACTAAGTAATTCTAGATCAGTATTAGATCAGTACTAGATCAGTACTAGAGCAATACTAAGTCAATTCT